GATGGACTTCAATTGATCAAAATACAAGTGCAAAATAATAGTCTAGCTCTAAATTTATCATATCAACCCTTCAAGAATGTAGTAAAAATAAATTTAAAATGTGTTCACATTGCAAAAATTAAATCGACATCAAGTTATGCAATGCTAAATTCTTGCAGAAATCATAGTGTTGTCATTACATTAATCATTAAAAATACCAGTGAGTGCCTTCTAATTGATGATGATTGGAAAGTTACAATAATTTTGTGAATATTTCAGAAGTTTTTTGTCATACTAATAATGCATGTCTAGCTATGTACTACCTTAGTTTTCATGTTGTTTTGCTCATTTCTGTATTGTTTATAAGTATTGTCTGAGCTATCAATAAAGTATTGTCTGAAATTTGAATGTTCCCTTACAAATCACAATTTTATTTTATTTTTATACTTTAAGTTATATATTTTTGGCTGAAATTCCATCCCCCTATCATACTGTTCTAGGTCGTCCCTGGTCTCATCGATTCCTTAATTCTGCAGCCATGGCTCGGAATGAAGAGAAAGCGCAGTCAATGCTGAACCGTTTCATCACAATGAAAGAGGAGGAGAAGAAAAAACCCAAAGAACGCCGCCCGTACTTAGCCTCGGAGTGCTGAGATTTGGCGGAGGCTGACAAGTGGCGCCAGCAAATCATGCGTGAAATTGGGCGTAAAGTGGCGGAAATACAAAATGAAGGACTTGGAGAACACCGGCTCAGAGATTTGAATGATGAGATCAATAAATTGATTAGGGAGAAGATGCACTGGGAAAGGCGGATAGTGGAGCTAGGTGGGCCTAATTACACGAGGCACTCGGCTAAGATGACTGATTTGGATGGGAACATTGTTGATGTTCCAAATCCTGGTGGTCGTGGACCCGGGTATAGGTATTTTGGGGCTGCCAAAAAGTTGCCTGGTGTAAGGGAACTGTTTGAGAAGCCGCCTGAGCTGCGAAAGAGGTGGACAAGGTAATTATGTTACATTTGTGCTGTTGTATTGATATGGCCTGCAGTTATTAAACAAGCATGTTTCGTTATTACGTCAAGTATACGTCTCTCTTTTCCATTTGGTGTTCAAGGTTGGACTTCATATTCGATAATATGTAATTTGGGAGAGGCTGTATATGCTGAAATGACATACTATTTTTTTGTAAGATTCATTCTTAGCTTTTGCCATTATGATGTTCTATGTCAATTAGAACATGATGATGTGATATATGAAGTCAAATTTGGGGGAAATTTATATGCTGGAAGCACATATGATATTCTAAGTCAATTAGTTCCATGCTTTCAAAAACTTAGATGGTTCTGAGTTTCAAGCATATTTGTTGACTTGCTTAGTTAGAATCATTAAAGTCTTGGATTTTTGTAATAGTGTCTGGGCTAATTATATGAACACGCTATATATTGGTTCTTTTTCATTCACTAGTGAGATAGAGAACTTATGTATTCACACCTATTGCCTCAATGGAATGGCCTGGGTAGTTCACATAGGAGAGGAGTGACGAGTAAGAAACATGTCTTTTGTTAGTGGATTCACTTATCAAACAACCTTGGAAAGCTGAACCGGCTTTCCTTGTTGTGCCATCATGACATGTCTCAGTCACTCTGCCAGTTTACTGTGTCAAGTCTCTCTTAAAACTGTTTGATGTGCCACTCTGTTAATGGCTTTGAAATATGCTCATGTTAGGCCGAGCATCTTTCTTAACATTTGGGGAAAAAGGCTTTGTTTTTGTTGTTTGCAGCTGAAAAGCAAAACTGTGTTTATAAACATAACAAGAATCAACATTCTAAAATTTTAGTACAATAACTAAATATGATGAACTATTCATTTCTAACTACATTTGCTGGTATGAAAGAATGATGGGACTCCACACAATCTAGTTATGATGTGGATGTAATGCTTTGCTTATCTGGTTTTTAATAATTTTTTTGTAGGTACGATATTTACAAGAGGATCGATGCCAGTTATTATGGGTATAGGGATGATGAGGATGGAATATTAGAGAAATTGGAAAGGCCAGCTGAGGAGAAAATGAGGGCTGCGGCTGCTGCAGATTGGATGGAGATGGAGGAGATAAAGAAGGAAGCCAGGAGGGCAGTGAAGAGTGGGGAGGTGGCAGAAGTGGGATTAACGTCAAAGATATTATTTGAGGAAGAAGAGGATGTAGTAGAGGAGGAGAGGAAGGAGCGGGAGAGAGAGGAGAAGGAGAAGGAGAAGGA